TTACTCGTTTCGATACACTGATGCGTAGTAAATCGGAACAAGTCCAAAGATCAATCAAATCAATCAACGATCAAAACATCAAAGATCAGCGGTCTCTGAAGACCGCCCATTATTCCTATAAATTATCATATTTAATTACACGCGATCGCTGATTGGTCGGGATGCCCAGTATTATCGAATTAGCAGAGGTTTAACAACATGACCTAGAAAATCAAACACAACAAACATTGTGTACTTCGCATGAACTTTAGGCTTCGGAATTTGACTATTTTTAGTCTATATTTGATTAAATTTACCATTGATTTTATTAGAATAATGTAGAAGGTTAGTAGAGAATAACAAAATAATCAGGCCACAATTAAACAATTTTTTGTTTGCCTTCATCCAACCCAGGCTGAAAAGTGTGGTTGGCTTTTTTTTGAGGGGGGTCTTTTTACAAATTCAGCAATGGTGTCTACGTGCTCAGGTGTGCTTGTGTGGAGATACCTTTAATGTTTGCCTACAGATTTTTATAATGTACATTGTACAGTGATACAATATACATATAAAATACTTTTAACAACTTGTTTATCAGAGCTAAATTGTGCATGATTTTATTTCCAGATCACGCACGCACGCACACATACACGTAATGTGGAAATAAAAGCATTACAAATAAAAGGAACTTGAATTAAGAAATAATAAATATTTTCTTAGCACATATTAGTCTTTGGAAAGGAAAATAAAGTTAATCTGTCAGAGTTAGATCCATAATTAAGTTATTTAATATCTAAATTATAATATAGCGATTTCCAGGATTCCAGCAAAGTTTTGCTGTCCAAGTTTTGGAATCCAGCGATTCCAGGAAAGTTTTGCTGTCGCGCTCTCATACCAGCGGTGCCCGGCCACCCACTAATAATAAACATGCACCCTGGCACGCAGCTGAAAGTGAAACAATCGATAATGCACTCGCCCCTCCCCCCTACTTCAATCAGTGCCGCCCAGCCAACAGGCACGTACGCAGGCCGTGCATAGCTCTAGTACTATTATCCCGCGTACAGTTGCCGCAGGCCTGCCACATACGGAAACTTCGGAAAGGTCAATACAAATGTTTGTGTCGGCCCCTTTTTGGCGGGTCGGTCGGGTGAGGGCAAACACACAACATTTTTATTATGGCCTCAGTTTGGTAAATTTTTTATTTCCTGTGCGGCGATTATGCAGTCGCCCCGTTGGACCAGCTGACACGAGCAAGCAGTCGCCCGGTCGATTTTCTCATCGCCACTGGCGACTGGGCGACCGCTTGTTTCTCACGCTGACAACACATGTGATAAAGGTACTGCTGTGATTGGTTCCTTGGCTCGTTGGATCACATGGTACTGCTGCGATTGTTACTATACTTAATTTTATTGTAGGTTGCCATGACGACGAAGACGACGACGACAACAATGACATGCCAGCATTTGCTAGCGAGGATGCGGACAATAGACTGGGATCTGATGAGCCCTTCATCAGTGAACACACATTACAGCAACAGCAGCAGCAGCAAGGGGCGATAGAGTGCATCTCCAGCTATGAGGAGCTCGTACTGAAGTACACGGTGAGCTATCGTGCTGCCCTCTACTGCAGCAACCTCCCTTGCAAGTGGAACAGAATACAAGCAAATCATATATTCATATGTACATAATATTAGTATACCCGATAGATGTTAGTGTATTACACTCGCACTCACGCACACACACAAACACACACACATACGCAAACACACGCACGCACACGCACGCACGTACACACACAAACACACACACACACACACACAAACACGCACGCACACACAAACATGCACACGCACGCACGCACGCACACACACACACACACACAGAGAGACAGGAAGAGAGAAAGAGAGAGAGAGACAGCGAGTGTTAGTATATGTTGCTTACCGTGAGTAACTTTGCACATGTTTACACAGGAGGGATTCCTCGCGAGTGCGAAGGAATACACGCACATGACTGAGCTCGCGAAGAGAGTCTCCCAATGGGAGGAGAAGATACTTCCCGTGCTGGAGCAGGAGGTAAAACCTTCTCTTTATACATCGTGTCATACTAGCTAGCAGCTAGACATGGGCTAGCAGTAAGACATAGCTAGCAGCTAGAATTAGTTAGAGGGTGGATATATCATTGTACATGTTGTACAGTATTATGATCTAAAGATAATGCTTGACAACAGTACTGCAAATTCAGTGATTTGTCATGCATTCTTGAAGGTAATTAATGAGTAGCTAAACGTACTCCTCACCGCCAAGCTGTGATTTATACATCGTATCATACTAGCTAGCAGTTAGAATTAGCTAGCTCGGTCAAGGTCAATTGTGATTACGATGAGATGCTTAAATAATAAAAATAAAAATAAAAATAAAATAATGATAAAAAGCCAAATTTGAAATCTAGGCAAAAAATAGCTGCCGTGGAAAGATCTACGTGTGCTTACTGTGGCTATGAGCTCAACTTTTAAATTCTTAGATGCTTTCAACAGGCATTTTGTGGTGTCAGGAGGACCTACGCACAGTGCTATTTAACTGAGCCACCTGGTGTGATTGACTGTTTGCTCTAGCCAATCATGGTTACAATATGAAGATCTAAAGACAATGCTTGACAACAAAGTAAATGCGAATTCAACGATTCGTCATCATGCATTCGTGAAAAATGTGGGTGAACTTGACCAACCTGGCAAAGTGGCAATAATATGCTCCAAGTGGGTTCTTCTTGTTCGGGTGGATGGGATCATAGTAGATGTGCTCTGATCTATGATTGCAGGAGACGCGCGGATCGTTTGACATCCACAAGCATGGATCGCTGATCCTAGACTCGTTCTCACACACGCCATCGGCGAAGGTGAAGAAGGTGCCCTTCAAACAGATCGTCTCAGGAAAGAGCACGTACGACGTCTGTCGCTACTTCCTGTCCGCATTACAGCTGGTGAGCGAAGGCAGTGTCAGAGGAAAAAGCATCGGCGTTGTCAGACAATACACTGCGTGTTGTGATCCAATGTGTCAAATGTGTGAAATGCAACGTTATATAGCAGTTATAATTAATTAATGATATGAAGTTACTAAACGCGATCGTGACTATGCTATGTGTGTGACTGTTGATAAAATAATTCATCAATTCACAGCAAAATTGTCAATTCAAATACACGAACGGTTGGGAAGTTGTATGAAATTACCACTTTAAGAGCTCAGCCCGATGTGTGATGTATGCATATATACGATTTATGTTGAATTATAACTAATTATATGACACGAAGAAAACTATATAGGATAAATTCTTCGTTTGCAGGCAAATTCACACAACATAGAGATCAGTCAAGATGCGCAGGGAGCTGACGGCATGGACACAATGGCAATCAGGCTGTTGTCACGGAAACGCATACACGAAGATCTGCAGGAATACAGAGCGCCGTCCTTGCAGCAGTAGCTCCATCTAGTGACAATAGTTTGATGCAATTTCCTTAAAGCAGAAGGGAGTCTCTGCTTAGATCTGTTTTTTAGACACTTGTAAAGGCGGGCTTATGTCGGGCTTGCGAGCCGACTCGACTGGAAGCAACTGGCTGCGACTGCAGTGCTTAGGTCGGTCGACTCCGACGCGACTGCCTGCGACTGGCCGCCACTAGTTGCTCGGAATAGAACAGTGGGCAACTGGACGCAACTAGTCGCTGCCGATCGCTTCCAGTTGCTCGAAATCCAGTTGCTTTCGGTCGAGTCGGCTCGCAAGCCCGACATAAACCCGCCTTAAGGAACACTACCAAGAGCACAGTTTTGTGTAAGCATGAGTGCCACCTAGTGAGAGTGTGGTGGAATTGACACTATGTGAACCAGTATATATATATATATATATATATGTATATGCTTGAGTGCGCAAGGGTTGTCAGGATAAATGCCACCTTATGAGAACATGGTGAGGTACGACACACATATACGAGAGAAGATGAGGGTTGTCAGAATAATGTTAGTAATTATGGTTGATGTTTCTAGAGTTGGCTAATTATGTTTTAAACTTGCATAGGTTTCTCTTCTCTCTCTCTCTCTCTCTCTCTCTCTCTCTTGGCTTCACCTACCATGTTCTGTGGCATGCAAGAAACACCAGTACATACGATGCACCCTGTAGTAATGGGAAATTTGTTGAAAAAAATAAAATTAAGGGGGAATTTTCTCATGCCTGACCAGACTATGGGAACTACTGCTAAATCTTACATATAAGGTTATTTGTCCAGTATAGGTCCTATAATCTAAAGTGCACAAATAACCTCAGTGTCAGCTAGGACTTATATCTACTGTAACATAATCTTTCATTACCTTTATGTTATTACGTCTCGTATATTTTAAACACTACTTGTAAATACTGTCAGTGAACACAAATAACCGTATTAGTGGAAAAGTAAGTGATGATACTCGTAGTCTTTCGGAAGGCAACGATGATTTCTATGTTTTAATTGTAACACGAGGGAGGTGGTACCAAAATCCCAAGCTGGGTCATTATAAGGGACGCAGAATAATTTTGAAATGTGCTGAAAAATACGATATGTTACATTGATGTGCTCTCTCTAAACACGTCACATGGATATACTTACCTACTCTCTCTACGTTACATTTATGCACCCTACTACTCTCTTTTTATACTAATGTTACATTGATGTACCCACACTAGATACATATGTTAGCTTAACATACCCTCCTATCCTCTCTATATTACATTTATGCGCCATCCTACTCTCTAGGTCCCCCTGTTATATTAATGTAACCTTGAAATTTACATTGGTTAAGCGCAATGGGCAGCGAGCAATCTGTCATTGACTCGCACTCGCTCTCATATTATTGCCCTATGCTACGATGTGAGTGAGTTTGTGAGGAAGATGGCTACATGTATGACTTGCATTCATTACCATCTTCTTGTAACTATTGAAATTTTTGCATCTCGGTCCTGTACATGGCATGCGTGTTTGTATCGTACGTGTGTATATAGCTAGATTTATCAACACTGCCATGTTATAAATGCACAAGGTTTGATTTAGTCAATCAATACTGTTATCGCCTCGATAAGCAGTTATGTTTTGTAGATATTCCGTAATTACTCTAATAAAACCTCGAGTTATTTTTTTATATCTGTACATGTATATATCGGTAGGATCACATTTGTTGTTTGTTCGTCATCGTCTAGTTTTCTGCTAGTAGTAGTTTTTATGTTTAGAGCCGAATTCTTGATCCTTCGTTACATCGAGTGATCGAGGAGAAAGTATTCACATTGTAGAAGGGATTGCCTCTATAAGTCATTACAGCTCTTACACGATTTTATTACTATTTCTTTGACTTATTTTAGCGCGTGTGTAAAATGGTGTTTGAGATTTCTGGCCAAGTGCGATGGCTACACGGTGAGAATGTTTACGTAGCACTAGCATGTACAGCCCCCTCCCCCCCCCCGTGTCGCGTGCATGCCTAAAGTTCAGTTACGAAGATCACGTTTTATTTTGCGGCAAACGTGGCATCGTTTGTGGTCTGCGACGATCTTCTGTGGCTATAACAAGACCTGCGCGACAGGATTGTCCCTCTGAGGCAGCATTATCACGACACCTGTGCATGTATACTCTCTTTTACATTACCATTATCTAGACTACTTGCTCGTAGCCTTTCTGGCCACAACTCTCAGGGATCTGAAGCTGTAACGTCAGTGTCGCACTAAACATGCACGAAGGTGTACGCCGATTTTGTACTGTTTCTGTGGCTCGTCTATATTCTGCATATGTACGAAAGTGAACATCAAACGTCTACTGTTACATTGGGAACCGAGTGATCATGTAATTATTTGTGATCATATAATAGTTAGTGATCATATTTGTGCTCTGTAGCGGCGTCACTAAGAAAGTTTTGTGTCGAAATTTTGATGTAATCTAAAATAAAAGTGTCATTTTCCTGATTTCGCCGCTTCTGAAACATTGCTGAAAAAGCTCAAACACATTCTGGAATCAATATTGAATAGTTTTTTAATCAGCACTAACATTTCACCAGTGATCACAGCATCTGATAGCATATCAAACAGCACAGATTAATGGCTAATCACTTTACTTATTATATTACATAATATCAGGAGTGTACAGACTATATTATACACTTGATAATATTCAACTGGGTTACTTCAAATAGCACAATGTTACTGTTGTGCTAGTTTCACAATCAAAGATTTCAAATGTATAAAATTAATTTTAACAAATTCTTTATTAATATTTCAAATTCAATGCAATATACAAAAAAATTCAGTATGTACGATTACATATGTTATAAAAAACACAATTGATACCGAAACGTGCACCAGTAGGCATGCATATAAATCTGGGATGGATTGTATCAAACATCTTATCCATCCACATCAGTAAATCCGAATTAGTCATTAGATCCAGAAATAATAATACCTAGGTATGATTAGATCAGGAGTGAATAATAATAGATCTATTATTATCCACTCCTGATTAGATCTATATCAGTGACTTAGACCTAGAAATCGTTGCTAGTCGGTCTTTCTATTTCATCAACTTAGCATATCCATATCGGTGGCAACAATTAAGACTGGGTTGTCAATTCTTCTTGTGTTTTCTCTGCGTGTGTGTGTGTCTGTGATTGTGTCTGTCACTATCAACCTCATGGTCTGCTGTCCAACCATCTATACTGCTGTGTCTGTGGTGGTGTCTGTCACTATCAACCTCATGGTCTGTTGTCCCATTATCTATACTGCTGTGTTTGTGTCTGTGCCTGTGTCTGTGTCTGTGTCTGTGTCCGTCACTATCAACCTCACGGTTTGCTGTCCAACCATCTATACTGCTGTGTCTGTGTATGCGATGGTGTCTGTCACTATCAACCTCACGATCTGCCGTCACATCATCTATACTGCTGTGTTCGTGATGGTGTCTGTGTCTGCGATGGTGTCTGTCACTATCAACCTCACGATCTGCCGTCCCACCATCTATACGGCTGTGTCTGTGTGTGTGTCTGTACCGACGGCTGTGTTTGTGTTTGTGTTTGTGTCTACGTTGAGACCTTTCACTGATCACTTCCTCTCTCTCGTCCACTGTACACCGGGTGGCGCTGTACTCGCTAGACGGCGAGCCGTCGCCGCAACGACGTTTCCGCTTCTTCGCGTGGTGTCTGCGCTCGCCGGACCGCTGTCGGTCGGCTGACCTTGACGACTGACGTTGCCGTGGCGACGCTGCCTCCCAGGAGCTGTCGCGCGTGCTGGACGCGTGAGACAGGGGAGAGTTGACCACGACAACGCTCGCGGGTCGTCGTCGTGACGACGGAGCATTCGCGATCGACGGTGCCGGCCGTGACGAATGAGCGTCTGCGGTGGACGGACCGGGCCATGACGAATAAGTGTCCGTGATCCGCGGTTGTAACGAATAAGCGTCCGTTATCGACGGTCGTGACGAATAAGCGTCCGTTATCGACGGTCGTGACGAATAAGCGTCCGTTATCGACGGTCGTGACGAATAAGCGTCCGCTATCGACGGTCGTGACGAATAAGCATCCGTTATCGACGGTCGTGACGAATAAGCGTCCGCTATCGACGGTCCTGACGAATAAGCGTTCGTTACCGACGGTCGTGACGAACGATCTACCGCACTGACGCGATCGGCTGACGTCGACCGACAGTCTTGCGCGCTCGATCGCGCCGGGGAATCTCGCCACCTCGACGGACTTCCCCGCGACCGCGACGAGTCGCCGTCTGCGCCGCTAGAGGACGCTGCGTCGTTGTCGTCGTCGTCCGTGATGGCGACGAGCGGCGGCGTGCGTTCGTGCAGCGGCTTCAGCTCAGTGATGACCACCACGTCGCTGTCGCGCGACGACGCCGGCGACAGATCGACGACCGGCGCGGGACTCGCATGGCGCCCCCTGGCGGGCAGGACGACGACGTCCTCGTCGCTGGTGTCGGTCGTGTCGTCGGGGCGAGCGAGGAAGCTGCGTACTCGCGTGATGAGGCGCGTACTCGCATCAAAGTCCACGTTCACTCTCCTGAGATGCTCGCTGATAGAAGGCGCTGTGGAGCCTGTCGGGAGACCACTGATACCAAATGTAGATGGCATTCCAGTGCTGACTGTAGGCGGCAACGGGTTAAAGGTGGTCATGTTGGTGACGTAATCACCTTGAATACTTCCCGTCAATCTAGCAGCAGCGCCACCTGCAGGCGGCTCCGGATTGTGGGTAGTTAGCAAGGTGCCGTAACGTGTCTCGCCACCAGGGGGCGATGCACGCGAGTCGGGGGACAGCAGGACGACGTCGCTTGCCTGCGTCGGTGGCGCCCCCTCTCCAGCGGCAGCGGCGACGTAGGTGGCGGCGCGATCGTATGCAACCATGTCGTGCGGCGAGCGAGCGAAGTTGTGCAGCTCCCACAGGAAGCGGCGTGTATTGCGCCGGAGGTGCGGGTACAGCCGCTCGTGCATGCGCCCGCTGAGCACCTCATGGCGCAGCAGCAGCGACAGCACCAGCTCGAGGACGTACGTCGCACGCGCCACGGAGGGCGCCAGCAGCAAGTTCAGCTCGCGGTTCAGCCACGGCACGAGGCGGTGCGTGCACGCCGGGTTCTCTCGGTAGAACTGCGGACCCGTCTCGCGATATCGCGTCCCCGCGTCGCGCGCCACGCGCAGCTGCAGCCCCTCCGCGTACACCCGCCGCCTGTCCTCCGACGTCGCCCCCTGGTGGTGGCGGCGGTGCCACGCGCCGCGCGACAATGACAGCACGTGGCGGTGCCGCCGCTGCAGCGCGTTCCTCTCCCGCTCGTCGCGGGTCAGCGTCAGGTCACGGCGGCCGCCCGCCACCAGGGTGCTGCGGTAGCGGAAGCGTCTGCCGTCAGGGCTCGCCCAGGTGGCGCTGTCGGTCGGGCGCAGCGTGAACTCGTCGTAGTCGTCGAGCGCGCGAATGTTGTGAATGATGCTGCGGAACGGCTGCTTGCAGAGCGGGCAAACCGCCTTCACCTGGTGGAGGGAAAATAAATAGAGAGTTAGAGAAAACATCATTATCGTTACATACATCCTTACCCTGTCGACCACCAGAATCAGTTAAGACAGACAGACAGAGCCAGAGAAAGAGAGAGACAGAGAGAGAGAGAGAGAGAGAGAGAGAGAGAGAGAGAGCGAGAGAGAGAGAGAGAAAGAGAGAGAGAG